GGGTCGTAGACCCGAAGTATAATTAGGATTATACGAGAATAAACGAGACGAATATAACAATGTATTCCGCACCCTTTTTTCCCACCCCTTTCGTTTTCTAATGTCATTGTTATTGTTCTGTTTCAGGTCTTGGTCGCTGAGCAAAAAGGCGATACTTTGGGGTGGCCCCGGGCGATAGAGGGGCTCTCAGTGTGAGGTCCCGGATACCTTATGACGTTGATGTTTTTTCCTTTTTTGGATGTATTCTTTGAATTTCGCTGTTTTATTTTGAAGCAATAAAGGCAATACATTGTTATATTCGTCTCGTTTATTCTCGTGTAATCCTAATTATACTTCGAGTCTACGACCCTCTTATAATTAGTAATTATTAACTGGAAAAAGCGGAAATTACAAACACAAAGCTTGCTTGCACAACAATGGTCCCTTGTAAAACATAAACAAGAGATCAAAAGTCATCGAAAGCGTCAGGATCCGAGTAATAACTGATATAACTGGAAAGCGCAGACGGCTGCAGTCTCTTTTTTAGCGATTACCGCGATCCAAAATTTATGAAAACCGCAAACCGCTTAGTCTTATAAAACCGCAATACCGTAGGTTTAAATAAGGATTTCCGTAAAACCGCACCAAAAATAACGCAAAACCGCATCACCGCAAACCCTTACGCCCCCCTCCTCATGGAAAGTTTGGCCTCTGAACTGGGCCTAACTTGTAAACTAACCTATTCTTCAGTTCGGCCTCTTTACGATGACACAAGCTGAACAGCTCAAAACTGTACCACGTTGTCAGAGTTGCGCTATGCTACAGTACTGTGATTACTTTGCATTTCTGCAGAAAAAGGAGGGTCTGGCGATTTCATTACATACGTATGACCCAAGTATACATGGAGAAGACAACGGACATGAGATGGTTCCATTTTTTAAAAGCACGTTCCATATTTCATTTAAAATTTTGGACTAAAGAGTTTTTAAACTAGAATACATCATCATGATTTGAAAAGGATTCTATGGTTAAGTATACAAACGAGCGATACTTTTGCTTTCGTTTAAGCTGTGCAATATGTGAATAGCAAAATTCTGTTTACACTATTTCAGAAACAAGAGTTCTTTGGGAATATACTTAAGGGAAACATTCGCTCAAATCCTAAAGCCAAAAATCCCTCCTCATTAAAAGGATTCTAAAAGATGAATTTCCCAGAGAAGAGTCCCTCTCTCGCCTAGTCCGTCAAGCGTAAATCGAAAGAAGTTCTAGCTCGACAGACTAAGCGAAAGAGGGACTACTTGCAGTCTGTTAGGAAAGGAACCCTTAGGTCAACGTGAACAACTTCAGTCGAACCTCCAGTTGCCACGACCTCTCTAAGCGACCACCTATCCTCAGCGACCAGTTTTCTAAAATACCAGAAGTTTCCAGGTCAAATCACTATATTTGGAACCTCTTGTAAGCGACCTCCTCTCGTAAGCGACCACGGCCACTTTAAGAGCTAAAAGGTTGAAATTTTCTTTTGTTTTTAACCTCCCGTAAGCGACTATGCCACTTGATAGAAAATGGAGCAGAAATTTGGTAGAAATTGGATAATAAGGTGTTGTAATATTATCGCATTCCTTGGTAGTACAAAAGACGGAAATTTCTCATTGGGAAGTACTGCACATTTTTTCCCTCGAAATTAACCTTTTCATGATAAATAAAACACTTAAAAATTTAAAGAAAAATGCACATCCACTGTACTCTATCGGTCTCAAAAGAGACGACCCTTTAAAAATGTCTTATAATTACAGAAAATTAAAACTTATTTACTGCTCAGTCAAGAACAGTTAACAGTTAACATCCAAATCACCAGCAATATAATGGGGCTGTCAAATTTAAACTTAGCAATCCAATCCCTATTAGTTGATGTTCAGTCTCCCTATCGTTTTTTCGGGGTCAAGTTCCCCGCAGGAATTTATTATTTTTTTTGCCGGGGGAGTCGGACATATTCTACTGTCACAATCTGAATCTTGACACTCGCCACAATCGGATTGCCTGGAACAAGTTTCAAACAAATAATTTTTATCTTTCACACAGTCGTTTTGTTTTACTGTCAAAATTCTACTCCGAGGGAAACATAACCAAGCATAAGACACATTTAACTGCTATTACCTAACTGATGGGACTGCATTACATATTTTGTGTTTGATTTTAGGGAAATATCTTCAATAATATCTTCCCCTTGTAATAAAATTCATTCTTGGCATGCAGTGAAGCAAGGTTTTAGCTAGGAATCTCGGAGTGGCCGTCCAATGACAAATATGGGGCCAAACGGATTATTCCCCTAGAGGAATAAGAAAATTTTGCGAAATTGAAGCTTTTTTAAACGGTTGCGTTTTCCACGATTCTCGGCCGATAAATTTAATGTATCGATTGGACTTCAATGATAATGCATCGTTTACTTTGTCAAAAACCTAAAATAGATTGAAACAACCTGTACTAAATGCATCAGTCGTGTTAACAGCTCAGTGATTGTCTTTGATCACGACATTTGTTTAACGTTGACCTTAGCGGCCATCTTAGGGGAAGTGTTACGGTTCGCCATGGGTGTGCACATCTGTTTCCACAATCGTCATTTATACAGGTCAGTTGTGAAATCACTCCAATATGCCGAGGCTTTCAAAACACGGTATGTGCTTGCTCAAGTGCAAACGAATCAAGCATGACAGCTATTTATCCATAAAGGTTTTTCTGCAAGGGTCGTTAACTACCAGTGTTCATGATGAGGTTG